CAGCAGCAGCAACAAACACAGCAACAGCAACAACAACAGCAGCAGCAGCAACAAACACAGCAACATCAACAGCAGCAACAACAACAGCAGCAGCAGCAACAAACACAGCAACATCAACAGCAGCAACAACAACAGCAGCAGCAGCAGTCACCTGTTGGCCACAGAATGCATGTGGTGCACCGGCCCTCCCCCAAAGCAGCCCCTTTCCTTGCAGCACCACTCCCTGTCCGCATTACAAGAGACCCCAGTTCCCTCCCGTTTGTTGCCACAGCACCGACTGCAGGAGCAGCAGGTGCAGTGGCGACAGGCACTGGGGCAGCAGCAGGAGCAGCAGGAAGCACCGTGCAAACGCTCCCTGTGTCTTCCTCTCCTTCCCCATTCCCCTCAGTCGCTCTTGAAGCCACAGCAGCCGGCACAGCAGCAGCTGCAGGGACCTCAGGAACAGCTGCAGCAGGGGCAGCAGGAGTAGCAGGCACAGCAGGAGTAGCAGGAGTAGCAGGCACAGCAGGAGTAGCAGCTACAGCAGGCACAGCAGGAGTAGCAGCTACAGCAGGCAGTGTCCCGCCCTTGTGCCCGCCACCCCCGCCGCCCTACTGCTGGATCTCTCCCCTATCCATGTGGGGCATGGCTCCCCCGCCACCCTACACCATGCACCTGCCACCACCGCCATCTATGGCCCTGATGGCCCCGCATGGGTACTTCTCACATCCGCTCGACTCCTCTGCTCCACCCATGCCCGTGCCTGCAACCATGCCGCTGTCCCTGTCTCTCCCTGTCGCTACCTCCATGCCCATGCCCATGGCCATGCGTGTCCCCATGCGAGTCCCCATGCCCCTCTCCATGCCTGCGCATGTATCCATACCCATGCCTGGTCATGCTTCCATGCCTGCGCATGCTTCCATACCTGCCCATGCTTCCATACCTGCCCATGCTTCCATACCTGCCCATGCTTCCATACCTGCCCATGCTTCCATGCCCCCCCGCACATCCCTACCTCCCCGTGCATCCTTGCCTGTTCACGCATTCATGCCTGCCCATGCATCCATGCCCGTGCCTCCCCGCCCATGGAACCCCCCTCCTTCCTCCACGTCATCTCCTCCTATGGTCACGCCTGCAGTAAACGGCTCCTCTGCAGGGCCGCCAGCTGTCGCGCTGTCCTCCCCTGCGCCTGTCGCCCCCTCCGTGCCTGATGCCCCTGTGCACCTGCCTCGCCCCTTCAGACCCCTGCCAACTGCACCCGCTGCTGCTGCTGCTGCTGCTGCTGCTGCTGCTGCTGCCCTTGCTCCTCGTGCTGCTACGGCTGGTGGTGCTTCTGCGGCTGCGGCTGCTGCAGTTGCTGCTTCTGACTGCCCTCCTCATGGAAGCCGGCATGGCTCCCTGACCCACACTCTGCCCGCTTCACCCTCTCCAGTGCCCCCACACTCGCACACACACTCACATGCACCTTCTCACTCACACGCACCTTCTCACTCACACGCACCTTCTCACTCACACGCACCCTCTCCCTCACATGCCTGTGTGCACTCGCAACAACAGCAGCCGTACCACTCGCAGCCGCTGCACGCACATTCTATCTCCACAGCAGCAGCAGCAGTTGCTGCAGCAAGGAAATTCCCTGCCGGCCTGACTGGTTGCGCCAGGGACTTGCCTCGTGGAACGGGCAGTGGAGTGGGCAGCTCAGGCGCATCTGCAGCAGCAGAAGCTGCAACCGCAACAGCAACCGCAACAGCAACAGCAACAGAAGCAGCAGCAGCAGCAGCAGACGAGGGCGCTGCATTGCTATGTGCGGACGAGATCCATCCGGGGGAAGACGACGACGAGGATGAGGAGGAGGACGAGGACGAGAAGAAGGAGGACGGGCAGTATACAGGGGAAGGCGAGAGGAACGGTATGAATCTCTACGTGCCTTCTGTTGCTGGGTCCCCGCATGTGTCCACTGCTGCTGCTGCTGGCTATGGCAGCGGTATCAGTGGCGGCAGTGGCACTGGAACAGCTTGCGAGTCTGCCTCTGCTGCTGCGGCGGCGGCTTGTGTTGGGAATGCAAGTGGGGCTGGAGGGGTGGATGAGGCAGCGGACAGGAATGGGGGGCGGAGAGTGCTGAGGATGAAGTGGGAGGGTATGGACCTAGTCAGGTGGACTGTGGATGATGCTACTACCACTGCTGCTGCTGCTACTGATGCTGCTCCTGCGCCTGATTTTGCTTGCACTCCTGGTGCTGCTGCTTCTGCAGCCAGTGGTGCAGCAGCAGCAGCAGCAACAGCAGCAGCAACAGCAGCAGTGGCGGCAGGTGTTGCTGTTGGTGCTGGGTCAGAGGAGCAAAGGGCACAGCAGCTGGTAACGCCAGGAAAGGGACGGTCACGAGGCAGGAAAGCACCACGCTGTGCCACTCTCTCCTCTGCGGCCGCTACAGCTGCCGCCACAACTGTGGCTACAACTGCGGCTACAACCACCGCCGCTACAGCTGTCGCGACCACTGCCACCACAGCTGCTGCCACCACAGCTGCTACCACCACAGCTGCTGCCACCACAGCTGCTGCCACCACAGCTGCTGCCACCACAGCTGCTGCCACCACAGCTGCTGCCACCACAGCTGCTGCCACCACAGCTGCTGCTACAACCACAACTATCTGCAGCGCAAGTGTGGGAGGGCCTGCTGAGGTAGTAGCAGCACCGGTGCGGCTACTGGGCACACCACCACAGCGTCACCACCACACCTCCCCGCTCCCTCACAACCTCTCTCTCGCGCACCCCTCCTCCCTCATTCACAGCCCCTCTGCCGCCCTTGCGTCCTCTTCGTCGCCTCTCCACCGCAGTCTGGCTGATGCGTTGCGGCAAAAGGCACCTAGAATAGGAGAGGGAGGAGGAACAGCCGCAAGCTCAGATGGCTCAGGCTCAGGCTCAGGCTCAGGTGCAGGCCCTGCAGCTCCTGTTGCTGCTCCTGTCGCTGTTGCTTCTGATGCTGCTGCCTCTGCTGCTGCTGCTCCTGTGTCCACTGCACCTTTTCCCTCGGCGTCCACACCTTTCCGTCCACGAATGTACACTGAATTGCCTGCACCGCCACCTGCCTGTGCTGCTGCTGACTGCACGGCTGCTGCCATCGGCTCAACGGGTCACCCATCTCCATCTCCCTCGCAACCGGTCCCCTCCGTGCCAGCTGTCACTGTGGCAAAGCCCACTGCTTCCCGTCCATCTGCCTCCTCCTCTCCACCCTTCCCCCTCCGCCCCTCATACCCTTGGTCTGTTTCCACTGCCCCCGCCGCCCCTGCCCCCGCTGCCCCCGCTGCCCCCGCTGCACCCGCTGCCCCCACTTCTCATCATGCCGCCATGCTGCCTGCCTCGCACGCGCCTGCCAAGCCTCCTGCTCTACCTCTCATGGCCCCACACACCCCGTCCGTGCACCCACACACCCCCTCAGTGCTCCCTCACACTCCCCTCTCGACGCCTCACACCCCTGTCCGTCCCTCGTCTCTCTCCTCCTCGTCCTATCCTCCCTCGGCCTCATCGGCAGCAATGGTGCCCCCCCAGTCTCTGCAGTCATCCGACCATCAAGCATCTGCATCTGCATCTGCCTTGGCAGGCATGGCACCCATGGGTGGGAGTGCAGCAGCACCCATAGCAGTTTCCTCTGCATGGCGGCTGCCTCAGAGTGCGTTTTCTCTGGCCTCTTCCAGTCATCCCGAGCCTCCTGTTCTGGTTCGTCTCCCGCCCTCAGCCATGGCGATGGGTATTGACAGATCAGCATCGGCAGGCACGAATGATCAAGGAAAGCAGCAGCAGCAGCAGCAGCAGCAGCAGCAGCAGCAGCAGCAGCAGCAGCAGCAGCAGCAGCAGCAGCAGCAGCAGCAGCAGGTGTTGCTGGGTGACAGGCGCAAAGCAGCAAGAAGCCGGAGTGCCTATGCCATGCTTGCTCCTGCACCATCTGTCCTGGTGCAGGCCCAGGCCCAGGCCCAGGCCCAGGCCCAGGCCCAGGCACAAGCACAAGCACAAGCACATGCGCAGGCACAGGAACAAGCTCATGCCCTAATGCATGTGCACACAGGAACGCAATCCCAGTCGCAAGCAGAGGTGCAAGTTGGAGCATATCATGGGGCAGGAAGTGCAGAGAGAGAAGCACAGCCCGAAGGGCGGTCTTTTGTGCTTGGACCAGGGTCAGCAGCAACCTTGGGGCCCGCAGGCATGGCAGCTTCAGCCGCACCTGTTGCAGAGGCCAGCAGTCCCATTCAAACTCGTGCTCCTGCTTAGGCCTCCGTACCTCAAACACGGTGCCCTATTGCACCCATGTTACCAGCTGTATGATATTACTACAGGATGTATCCATTGTGCGTGGATACATTCATCTTCGTTGGCAGGGTGATTGATTGTGGGGGGTTCCTGTGAGGTTTTTGTTCCTTTTTGTTTGTTTTCGTTTCTCTCTTTTTTCTTTTTATGGTTATACAATAAGGGAAATGACACTGCTGGGTGTAGAGAGCACAAATGCCTGTGCCTTTCTGTGTGTATTCTGTGTCTACAAACGGTTTTCTGATGTTGCAGAGTGTGTGCCCTGTTCTTGGTTTTAATGCATTGTGATTCCCTATTGGGAAAATATGCCACAAGTAACCATCATGTGACCCGATAACGTTATGGTTAATTACGGTGAATCACTCTTAACAATCGCAATGGTACACTGCTGTAGTGTAGGCGCTTCCCCAAGGGTTCCTAGATTTCGGATCGCTTCCATTTCACATCTTGAGCATTGACGGAATTGACGGAACTCATGGACGGATTTCGTCGTGGCAAATGGTCACTCGCAGCCATTGACATGTTACAGCCGCTTCGCTCGCTTCTTCGCAGATCGCGAGCACGCGCATCCTCGGTCCGGGGGTGTCCACGTCGGAGTGCTGGGAACGTTAAGAGTCAGCGGGCTCAGATCTGACCGTTGTCGTCGTGCAACTGCGTGTGGGAGCAAGACGACGACGACGACTGCGCTTTTATCGGGACTATTTGTACTGTTACGGGCTTTCGAATCTCGTTACAACACTTTCGACCGAGGGGAGGAGCGCGATGGGGGACGGGGGAGACTGCGAGATGAGGGGGGTCGGCATGCATGGCAGCGCGACTGGTACCGCGGAACCAGAAAAACCAGGCGGAGCCGCGCAGGCGGTGGGGGGGATGCGGGAGCGGGGGGCCGTGCGGGAGGCGCGAGATGCGCGAGATGCGCGGGATGCGCGGGAGGTGCCGTTGGAGGCGCAAGTGGAAGAGTGTCCAGCCACGGACGAGTTGCGCGCGTCGTTCCGCTCCGCCATAAATCGAATACTCTTGCAGTCGCACGGCATCTACGTGCGTCCATCTATCTCTGTCTCACTCCCTTTCTCCCTCGATTCGTTTCTAAGGCGCCTTACGCAAACAGACTCTCGCTTCGCTTCGCCTCGTTCCTTTCGCGTCCCTTCCCTCTTCCTCTCTAGAATCTCCCCGTTCTCCTCCTCGATTTTTTAGCCGCGTGTAGAGAGGGTGTTTTTGAGACGTTTCAAAAACACCCTCTCTACACGCTTCGCTTCGCTGCTTTCGCGTCCCTTCCCTCTTCCTTTCTTGAATCTTTTCGTTCTCCTCCTCGATTTTTATATCTCGACCTAAAGGCTCTCCCCCTTCCCGCCCTCCATCGTCATGCGATTTATCCCGCCGCGCCTTTTTTTTCCTGCTTCTCCTCCGCGCGCGTCGTCGCGCGCCACCAGAACGTGGCGCTGCGGTCGTCGCCGTCGCAGTCGCACGCGGAATCGCAGCGGGGGGAGGAGATGGGCGCGCTGCTGCACCAGGTGCGCGCGCCTTGGGGGGAAAGAGGGGGAGGGGGAGAAGGGGAGAAGGGGGGAAAGGGAGGGGAGGAAAGAGGGAGGGGGGAGGGGGAGATGGGGAGAAGGGGGGAAGGGGAGGGGAGGAAAGAGGGAGGGGGAAGGGGGGGGAATAGAGAGGGAGAAAGGGAACAGCTGGTATTGTTCTCACCTCTTGACCATTGCCGTTCCTCCTCCATACTTCACGTCATGTGTGCGGTCCTGTGCTCTCACTTGAGTCGATTCAAAAAGTCATCCTGCCTCTGATCTCCTCTGCGCTTTTTTCTTTCTTGGAAAATAATCTTAATTAGTCTCCGCCTGTGTTTCCCCGCCTGTTTCCCCCGCTTGCTGGTCCCCCGCCTTTGTGGATGGGCGGTGTGTGGGTGGGCGGTGTGTGGGTGGGCGGTGTGAGAGTGAGGGCTGTGTGGTGGATGCAGATTATTGACAAGTGGGTGGAGTTCTCACAGGTACGACTGACTGCGGACACACTCGTTCTCGTCTTCACCACGGTCGTTGCTCGCACACGCACGCATGCACGCACTCATGCACATCCCTCCCATGTCCGCCATCCCCTGTTCCCTGTCCCCTGTTCCCTGTCCCCTGTTCCCTGTCCCCTGTTCCCTGTCCCCTGTTCCCTGTCCCCTGTTCCCTGTCCCCTGTTCCCTGTCCCCTGTTCCCTGTCCCCTGTTCCCTGTCCCCTGTTCCCTGTCCCCTGTTCCCTGTCCCCTGTTCCCTGTCCCCTGTTCCCTGTCCCCTGTTCCCTGTCCCCTGTTCCCTGTCCCCTGTTCCCTGTCCCCTGTTCCCTGTCCCCTGTTCCCTGTCCCCTGTTCCCTGTCCCCTGTTCCCTGTCCCCTGTTCCCTGTCCCCTGTTCCCTGTCCCCTGTTCCCTGTCCCCTGTTCCCTGTCCCCTGTTCCCTGTCCCCTGTTCCCTGTCCCCTGTTCCCTGTCCCCTGTTCCCTGTCCCCTGTTCCCTGTCCCCTGTTCCCTGTCCCCTGTTCCCTGTCCCCTGTTCCCTGTCCCCTGTTCCCTGTCCCCTGTTCCCTGTCCCCTGTTCCCTGTCCCCTGTTCCCTGTCCCCTGTTCCCTGTCCCCTGTTCCCTGTCCCCTGTTCCCTGTCCCCTGTTCCCTGTCCCCTGTTCCCTGTCCCCTGTTCCCTGTCCCCTGTTCCCTGTCCCCTGTTCCCTGTCCCCTGTTCCCTGTCCCCTGTTCCCTGTCCCCTGTTCCCTGTCCCCTGTTCCCTGTCCCCTGTTCCCTGTCCCCTGTTCCCTGTCCCCTGTTCCCTGTCCCCTGTTCCCTGTCCCCTGTTCCCTGTCCCCTGTTCCCTGTCCCATGTCTTATTGAACCTGTCTGTCCCATGTCCCATGTCCCATGACACATGGCACATGGCACGTGGCATGCAGGAGGAGTTTGAGGACATATTGGAAGAGCAGCAGGTATGCTCCACCCTACCTCTCCCTTGCCCAACTTTCTCCTCCCATCCCTCTCTTCCTCCTAGCTTCCCCGTCTTATTCCCGCCCCCCTCCCATCCCATCTCTCCCCTTCTAGCCAATAGTTTCCCCACCTCTCTCCGCATTCTTCCCAACCCCACCTCGTCCCTCCTAGCCCCTCACGAATGCACCATATTTCGTCTTTTGATTCCATTGCTCTCTCCTACCTACCTACCTACCTACCAAGTCCGCTTATCCAGGGTTCCTCCCTGT